TGCCATCGCACTCCAGCCTGGACAAGAGAGCTATACTCTGTCTCAAAGAAACTAAAAAATTAGGAAGCTAGGTTGGGAACAGTGGCTTACGCCTGTAATCCCAGCACTTTCGGAGCTGAAGCCAGGGGATCACTTGAGCCCAGGAGTTTCAGACCAGCCTGGGCAATGTGGCAAAACCCAGTCTTGACAAAAAATTAGCCAGGTGTGGTGGCATGCGCCTGTAGTCTCATCTACCCAGGAGGGTGAGGTGGGAGGATCACATGATCCCAGGAAGTGGTCAAAACTGCAGTGAGCCATGATCATGCCACTGCACTCCAGCCTGGGAAAGAGTGAGACCTTGTTTTTTTAAAAAAGTAAAAGCACCCTATGGAAACCAATAGACAGGTAAACCGTTATTATTTTGCAAAGTCCACAAAAACTGACAGAATAAACACAGTAATAGATTAAAAATGTAAAACATATGAACAAGTTAAAGATAATTATCACACTATGGTGAAAATGTTCACTCTCACACCTACTCAGTATAATGACAATAAAGCAGTCGAATATACCAAGATATCACTGTAACATTTATATAACTTTGCGTTAAAGTTACATAAGGGAGAACATGTCCATATTTTTTAAGAATGACATAATGAGATTATGCAAGGGCAAAATGAAATGAAGTTTTGTATTTGTTTGAAAATATTTGCGGCCGGGTGCAGCAAATATTTTCAAACACCTGTAATCCCAGCACTTTGGAAGGCCAAGGCAGGTGAATGACCTGAAGTCAGGAGCTCAACACCAGCCTGGCCAACATGGTGAAACCCTGTCTCTACTAAAAATACAAAAAAATTAGCCAGGCATGGTGGTGGGCGCCTGTAATCCCAGATACTCGGGAGGCTGAGGCAAGAGAATTGCTTGAACCCAGGTGGCAGAGGTTGCAGTGAGCCGAGATCGTGCCATTGCATTCCAGCTTGGCTAAAAAGAACAAAATTCCATCTCAAAAACAAAACCAAAAAAAGAAAATATTTGTGTGACAATAGCAGTAGATGAGTGGCACGTACTTTTGAAAATTTTCACAATGAAAAACAACATTCCGGCCAGGCGTGGTGGCTCATGCCTGTAATCCAAGCACTTTGGAGGCCAAGGCGGGTGGATCACCTAAGGTCGGGAGTTCAAGACTAGCCTGACCAACATGGTGAAACCCCATCTTTAAAAATAAAAAAAATTAAAAAGTAATAAATAATTTAAAAAAAGAAAAACAACATTGTATGACTTGTCAAATAAATGAGCCAAAACATTTATTTGAAATAAAAATTAAACATTTTTAGAGAATACAATGAAGAATACTACCAAACACATTGTGAGTGTCTGAAAGGTTCAGAAATATCTTGGTTCTAAAATTAGCTGGGTGTGGTGGCGTGTGCCTGTAGTCCCAGCTACTTGGGAGGCTGAGTCGGAAGAATTGCTTGAACCCAGGAGGCGGAGGTTGCAGTGAGCCAAGATTGTACCACTGCACTCCAGCCTGGCGCCTGGCGACAGAGTGAGACTCTGTCTCAAAAAAAAAAAAAAAAAAGAAATATCTTGTTTCTGAAAATCTATCCTAAGCAAATACAGGAAAATTTGTATGTATAAAGTTCTGCTTTTTTTTTTTTTTTGAGATGGAGTTTCGCTCTTGTTACCCAGGCTGGAGTGCAATGGCGCCATCTCGGCTCATCGCAACCTCCGCCTCCTGGGTTCAGGCAATTCTCCTGCCTCAGCCTCCTGAGTGGCTGGGATTACAGGCATGCGCCACCATGCCCAGCTAATTTTTTGTATTTTTAGTAGAGACGGGGTTTCACCATGTTGACTAGGATGGTCTCGATCTCTCGACCTTGTGATCCAGCCACCTCGGCCTCCCAAAGTGCTGGGATTACCGGCTTGAGCCACCGCGCCCGGCCTAAAGTTGTGCTTTTACATAAAGAATGCTTATATGCATAAAGAATGGTGCTTTTACAAACAAGCATTGATTAGAAAACAGCCTAAATATGAAGGTATAAATACTTGAACTGCACTAAAGGAAAAAACACAGAATTATATGAGAACATGCACGTAGATACTGTTACCTATCTAATCTTCATGGTCATATCTTCTTGGTACTCTTCTTCCTGAGTTTACCTTCTATCCTGCTGTGTGCTCAGCCTACATTTCCTTGCCATATGTTCTCCTGCTGTAAACTTCTGGGGGTATTAGGGTGCTTCCAGTTTCTGTCCTTGCTATATTTATTCTGGTATTTCATCCAGTCTCAAGACTCTGTATCTCTATGTCAAACACTCTCTAAATTTCCCTCCAATGCTGATCTGACCTCGCAGTTCCAGACTTCTATACTGAACTGCCTGCATGACATCTATGCTGTGTCCAATAAGCACCTGAAACTTAACATAAGCAAACCCACCGTTGACTTTGCAACCCCCAAATCTACTCGTTCCCCATTTCAGTAATTACAAAGCCCATTCTTCCATAGGCTTTCCCTAAAAAGTATGACTTCTTTTGTTCTCTTATATTCCAAGACTGGATCCTGGTAACTCTTCCTTGAAAAGATTTCAAACCACCACTTCCTTCCACTGCCACTGATTTCAATAGTCTCTGAGCTATCAATGTATCTCAACCAGTCTACTACAAAAACCTGCTAAACAGCCACTCTGCTTCTAACCTTGCCTCCTACTAAGCAGGTAGGGTAATCCTTTTAAAACATATGTTGCTTCAAAGTTAGGTGCAGTGGCTCAGCCTGTAATCCTAGCATATTGGGAGGCCAAGGTGGGAGGATCACTTGAGGTCAGGATTTCGAGACCAGCCTGGCCAACATGGTGAAACACTGTCTCTACTAAAATACAAAAATTAGCCAGGTGTAGTGGTGGGTGCCTGTAATCCCACATACTTGGGAGGCTGACACCTGAGAATCACTTGAATCCAGGAGGCAGAGGTTGCTGTGAGCCAAGATCATGCCATTGCACTCCAGCCTGGGCAACAGAGCAAGACTCCATCTCACACAAAAACAAAAACGTAAGTTGCATCAAGCCATTTCTAGGTGTCACAGCCTTCTGATAATTTCTCTTAGAATGAAAAGATTTCCCATGGCCTGTGTGGCAGACAGTATATAAACTGACCCACTCTTTCCCACTACTGCCTCTTTGATCTCATCTCCCACCCACATACCCCTCTGCCCTCACCACTCCAGTCAATGGCCTCTGGGGCTGCTCCTCAAATACAACCAACACAGCCCTTGACGGTCTGGCTTCCTCAATCTGGAGAGGGCTTCCTCCCAGTACCTACAATGATTTACTATTGTGCTTCTTCAGGTCTCTGCCCAAATTACCATATCATTTGGTAAGATATGGCAAATTTCTCTTTCCTCTTCACATAAAATAGCATCCTTTATCCCCTTCCTCTACTTCATGTTTCTTTTGAGTATTTACTATTACCTTATACATCATATATTCATCTATTTTCATATCTCTCCCTACACTGGGGGAATAAAGATTATGCTTGTTCTTTTTTTTTCTTTTTTTGAGATGGAGTCTCTGTCGCTCAGCCTAGAGTGCAGTGGTGTGATCTCAGCTTACTGCAACCTCTGCCTCCTGGGTTCAAGTGATTCTCCTGCCCCAGCCTCCTAAGTAGCTGGGACTACAGGCCCATGCCACCACACCAGCTGATTTTTGTATTTTTGGTAGAAATGGAGTTTCATCATGTTGGCCAAGCTGGTCTTGAACTCCTGACCTCAGGCGATCCACCCACCTCGGCCTCCCAAAGTGCTGGGATTACAGGCATGAGCCACCATGCCTGATAACATGTGTTCTACTCATTACTGTAACCTCAGTGTTGAGAATAGTGTTGGGCATACCATAGGCACTCCAGAAACATAAACTAAATGAATGAATGTGCTGTCCTGTTCCTCCTCCTTCAGACCAAATCTCTCTTTGCCACTTCTGAGTTTTCCATGGAGACATATACCCTTTATTTCCAACACTATCTAAAGTCAAAGATGCTCACACCCAAATCTTCCCCTATGACTTCTATGTGGATCAACCCCTCTTCTACTTTATTAGCCCTCACTTTCTGCTAAGCTCCCTATTTTAACTTCACTAGGGTTGTTCTACTTTGTAGAAGTTATTTGCAGACACACTCTAGTACTTCCAGGCAGTAAGTTCTGAAATTGTTATTCCTTTTTTAAACTCTGCAGCAACTAGCTGAGTGCCTCATACATGTTAGAAAAATCAGTAAATGTTAGTAAAAAATATATATGAATGAATAAATGAGAGCATAAACCCCTATTTCAAAAATCTTAGTAAAAGAAAATAAGTCTTTGGCAGTGTAGGAAAATATCTATTTCTGGAGACAGTGATGCTTTTATTAGACCAAATACAAAGGAGGATGAGAACCTAGGAAGGAAATGAATCCAAAATATGGATAGAAAGAATATCACTAGAGAGGGTGGAAGAGGGCACCAGCTGGTTAGAACTGAGAGGGAAGTATAAGAGGAGAAAAGTAGCTGGGTGCAGTGGCACACGCCTGTAATCCCAGCACTTTGAGAGGCTGAGGCAGGCAGAACATGAGATCAGGAGTTCAAGACCGGCCTGGCCAACATAGTGAAGTCCTGTCTCTACTAAACATACAAAAATTAGCCAGATGTGGTGGTGCCTGCCTGTAATCCCAGCTACTCAGGAGGCTGAAGCAGGAAAATTGCTTGAACCTGGGAGGCAGAGGTTGCAGTGAGCCAAGATTGCACCACTGCACTCCAGCCTGGGTGATAGAGTGAGACTCTGTCTCAAAAAAAAAAAAAAAAAAAAAAGAAGAAGAGAAAAGCAGGCAAAATGTGTTACGTAAGGGGGAAAGGTAGGATCATTTGAAAGCTCATGGAGGAAAGGTCTTACATTTGCACAACAGGTCAAAAGACTTTGAGGGGAGTTTCCCAGATAGCATCTAAAAGATGCAGTCTCTCTACTGGCCAAATTGGGCATTACCTGCTGTGCCTCACTTACCTGGCCACTGGCTTCTTGTTAGCTCTCTGTCAACTAACCAGGGCTCCTTCCCTTGCTCCAAGTAGGAGATCACATTTGGTTTAGAAATAGAATGCCCTGCATACAAAAGAAGTAACAAAACAAATTTATCATGAGAATATCCTAGAATTCAAATCCAGTCCCTTCATTATAAAGACAGACATGATATTATGAGAAGAGTCAAAGAAAGGTACAACGGACTTATGAGCAGAAGATGTAAAACATCCCCCAAAACTCAGTGCAGCTTCCTTTTTCCAACTCTGCAATATTCAGAACATTCCTGTGAGAACAGGATGTTGAAATTCAACTGGTTTTGAAGAGGCAGGTGAGCATTTCACATTGGAGGAAGCAGACCTTCCAAGGGCAGAATCTAAATTACTATGGACAGATGTCCTTACCCATTGAAACCAGGTTGCTGTAATTCTCCAGCATCACATCTCTGTATAAATCTCTCTGATCATCATTCAGGCATTCCCACTCCTCCTGAGAGAAGTCTATGGACACATCACTGAATATCACTGACTCCTGGAACAATAACCATGTATATGACTTGATTAATCAAAAAAAGTATTTTTTGTGAAGTAAAGAGCGAAGAAAAAGATTAAGGTAGAGGAAGTAAAATATAGTGAGCATATGGATGGATGTCTGGGACGCAGTGGAAGATTATGAACAAATAAGCACAACTGAATCACTGCATTCCCATGTCATTCTGTTTCCTCCAAAGGAAACTGCCTGAATATGGTAGGATATCTCCATTACTCAAACAAGATTGGGTACAAAAATTCAGCTAAGAGGGCTTTCCCAGTTAAATGAAATTGTATTTGCAATGCTTCACACTATACCTGTCATACAATAAATCAATGATACGTCTGATCTTCTTTCTGCCCCTCTTTTCCCAAATAGCTGAGAGTCAAATTTCAGAATAAGGGATAAAGGCAAGACATTAAAAGCCTCCAGAGAGAAGAGCAGGTCATATAAAAGGCATCAAAAATTAGAAGGGCAATGGAATTCTCAAGAACACCTCTAAAAGTGAGAAATGATAAGAACAATTCTTCAATATTCTGATGGAGAAAATAAACGCTAACCTAGACTTTCATAACCAAACTATCATTCTGTTTTGAGTGTTGAGAAAAGACATTTGTAGACATCCAAGCACTCAACAGTTTCTTCGGAAACTTCTAGAGAATGTGTTCCACAAAAACAAGGGACTAAACAAAAAAAGAAGACAACACAGGATTCAGGAAGTAGGTAAAGTCTCAGGAAAGCTGTGCAGCCGGCCTAGAGAGGAAACTAGACCAGATGGGAACAAAGAAACATGAAATGGGGAAGCAAGTCTCTACATCAAAAGGAACTATGTGTCTGACCACAGGGAAACATATTAATTAGCAGTGATGCTGGAGATTCTGGATATAAATACAGACTAAGCAAATGGGGAACAAAGCAGTTAACCCCAGGAAAATGAAGCGTTCTGCAGAACAAAGCCATGAGCTTGCTTGGCAGAGAATAATATTTGCAGCCATAATAAGGTGTATACTATCGATTTAACCAAAAATGGTGATATGATAACCATCAGGAAAAATGATGGTTATTGCGGTATGGGAATACAATGTTCCTTTTAACTTTGCAGTCAATCAAGAGATAATGACTAAAGTGAGTTCACCAAAAAATGGTGATTAATCAGTTTTCAAGAGTTGAGGGCATTGGCCTCTTGGAGTGGGACTGGTGATGGGACAAAACCAGAACTGAACTGCTTCCCTTGTAGACGTGCATAAAATTACTTTTTAAAATACTGTACCTTAGAAAATTATATTTGCATATACTTTAAGACTCTGACTCATTCCTATGCCAGACTCTTATATAATAAGAAATGTTCCTTGTTACAACAAATGCTATTCATAAGTATATGTTTCTCACTGAATAATATTCTATTATAAGGCTATAAAAGACATCTATTCTTTTGCCTTTAGATATTCAGGCTGGAGGTGATCTTTAAAGACTTCCCCAACACTGGCCCAACCTTATTTATAACCACCTACTGCCTAGCTTTAAATTCCCCTGATAACTAAGTGACAGAGACCTGATGAAGGACGATTCAGTTTCACTGTTGACATTACTGACATCACTGTTTTTGTTTTTAAACAGGGTCTTCCTTTGTCACCCAAGCTGAAGTGCAGTGGTATGATCACATCTCACTGTAACCATCACTTCCTGGGATCAAGTGATCCTCCCACCTCAGCCTCCTGAGTAACTATCATGCCTGGCTGATTTTTGTATTTTTTGTAGAGACAGGGTTTTGCCATGTTGCCCAAGCTGGTTGCCGGGATTCAAGCAAACCACTAACCACAGCCTCCCAAAATGCTGGAATTACAGGTGTGCGTCACCACATTCAACCACTGATTTCAATTTTTCATGGATGCTTAGTGAGGTATCAGAGCTTTGTACCAACCACTAGTCACACTCTCAGACATAAAAGGCTCATTAACCAGGAGAACGTGCCATGTACTAAAACTGCAATCAAACAAAACCACAGCACGTATTTTAGTATTGCAAAACCCAGGTCTATGGAGCTAATCAGAGCTTTTTCCTGAGTTGCCCCTGATTTCTTATTTTCATCCTGTCAAATCACTGTCTAAGCAAGGTAGATTAATTAATTCAATGTGGGGAACACATTTCTATACTATCAGGATTTCTGGTAAAAGTCTGAGATAGGAGATGTTCAAGGACTTTGTAAATGAGTATGTAAACATTGTCTAAAAGTGGGGTGGGGCAGGGTAGCTGGGCATGGTGGCTCACACCTGTAATCCCAGCACTTTGGGAGGCCAAGGCAGGTGGATCATGAGGTTAAGAGATCGAGACCACCTTGGCCAATATGGTAAAACCCCATCTTTACTAAAAATATAAACATTAGCTGGACATGGTAGTACGTGCCTGTAATCCCAGCTACTTGGAAGGCTGAGGCATGAGAATCGCTTGAACTCAGGAGACAGAGGTTGCAGTGAGCCGAGATTGTGCCACTGCACTCCAGCCTGGGCAACAGAGTGAGATTCTGTCTTAAAAAAAAAAAAGGCAGGGGAAACTAGAAAGAAGACGAGTTGTTTAGGAAGAAATGCATGTCCTATTCCTGAAAGAGGACCCTGGAAAACAATGTAAAAAAATGATCCCCAACCTGATCTGAGTGAGACCATTATTACTTACATAATTCTTAATCTCTTTATGGAAAGAAGTAAATATTCTTTTTTTTTAAAAGATGGGGTTTCACCATGATGGCCAGGCTGGTTTTGAACTCCTGACCTCAGGTGATCCACCCACCTTGGCTTCCCAAAGTGCTAGGTAGGATTACAGGCCTGAGCCACCGCGCCCGGCCTACAAGTGAGTATTCTTGAGAAATAGATAGGTGAGTTTCTGATGCACATTAATCTAATTAAAACTTCTTCAGAGAAATTTGTTATTCAACCACTTGGCTGACTAATAGTTAACTGTGAGTTAAGAATATAAATTTTTTAGCCGGGCGCAGTGGCTCAAGCCTGTAATCCCAGCACTTTGGGAGGCCGAGGCGGGTGGATCACAAGGTCAAGAGATCGAGACCATCCTGGTCAACAAGGTGAAACCCCGTCTCTACTAAAAATACAAAAATTAGCTGGGCATGGTTGTGCGTGCCTGTAATCCCAGCTACTCAGGAAGCTGAGACAGGAGAATTGCCTGAACCCAGGAGGCGGAGTTTGCAGTGAGCCGAGATCGCGCCATTGCACTCCAGCCTGGGTAAACAAGAGCGAAACTCCGTCTCAAAAAAAAAAAAAAAAAAAAGAATATAAATTTTTGGCTGGGCATGGTGGCTCATGCCTGTAATCCCAGCACTTTGGGAGGCTAAGGTGGGCAGATCACTTGAGGTCAGGAGTTCAACACCAGCCTAGACAAATGGCAAAACCCCTTCTCTACTAAAAATACAAAAATTAGCTGGGTGTGGTGGCATACACCTGTAATACCAGCTACTCAGAAGGCTGAGGTAGGAGAATTGCTCGAACCCAGGAGACAGAGGTTGCAGTGAGCTAAGATCGCACCACTGCACTCCAGCCTGGAAGACAGAGACTCCATCTTAAAAAAAAAAGGAAAGAAAAGAAAAAAAAAGGTAAATTTTCTTTTTTTTTTTTTTTTTGAGACAGAGTTTCGCTCTTGTTACCCAGGCTGGAGTGCAATGGCGCGATCTCGGCTCACCGCAACCTCCGCCTCCTGGGCTCAGGCAATTCTCCTGTCTCAGCCTCCTACTAAGTAGCTGGGATTACAGGCATGTGCCACCATGCCCAGCTAATTTTTTGCACTTTTAGTAGAGACGGGGTTTCACCATGTTGACCAGGATGGTCTCGATCTCTTGACCTCGTGATCCACCCGCCTCGGCCTCCCAAAGTGCTGGGATTACAGGCTTGAGCCACCGCGCCCGGCAAAAAAAGGTAAATTTTCTAACAATGATTATCTAATGAGTTCTTTCTTTTCTATGAATTGGCCTGTTAGAGATCCTTTCCTTTACAGCAAAATTCTGGCATTGCTTATAACCAAACCTTTTGAAAGGTGTTTTTCTTTCTAACATCAAAAAGCATCATAATGAGGAAAGCAAATGTTTACAGGTACTAGGGGTAAAAATCACTCTATCTGAGCAAAAGGAAACAGTATCTCACCTGAGCCATGGCTTTGATATTTGTAGAAAAGGATCTTCTCTTGGCTCTTCTTTTAGAAAAGGGTAGAGCTGGGAGAGGCAAAAGAAGATAGATAAGACCCTACTTTCCTCACAGCTCCCAGCCCAGCAGATGATTTCCCTTCTGTTCATGCTTTAGAAACACTTATGGGGTATCAATGAGGAGAATGGGCAAATCTCTTTATCATCACTAACTTCAAAGATATCAGGCTATAACTGGAGCAGGATGGATTAGGGCAACTCCATATGGCTAGGAGAATACATGTTTGTATACACACATATGCACACTTATAAAGATTTTTTTTAACTCAAATTATGTTATACACGCTTCTTACACATGTTTATAAACATCTTCACTTGCTATTTTTACTTAATATATCCTGGAATAAGGTCCCAATTAGTACGTATTGTGCTACATAACTGGCTTAATAGCAACACTGTAGTCCATTAAATGGATATAACTTAATTCATTTAACTAATCTGTGGCCAATCATCATTTGAGCTTTATCTAGTTTTTCACTGTAATAAACAATGCTGCAATAAATATCCTTGTGCATATGTCATTTTACCTGTATATGAATTCTTAACAATTAATTCCTAAAATTACAATTGTTCAGATTAAATACTTCTGAAATATGGATATACCTGGGCTAAACCAGTATTCAGTGTGCTTGGATTGTATAATCGGGTTGCAAGTGCTAAGCAAAAACAACTTGCTTGCTTAGTTTGAGAAGACTTTTGGGGTTGAGTCTTGACTTAAGATAACTGAAACCCAGAAAATAAAAAATACTACTGAAACCTTAGGAAGATTCTAAAATTAATAATAGTAACAATAGGAAAGAATTTAAAAGTATAAAATGATGTAAACATAGACTAAACTCAAATCACTGATGTTTTAAAATAGCTTCTAAGTGTAAGTGTAGTAATACAACTTATAACAATTGTATGTATTCTTTTTTTTTTTTTGAGACAGAGTTTGGCTCTTGTTACCCAGGCTGGAGTGCAATGGCACGATCTCGGCTCACCGCAACCTCCGCCTCCTGGGTTCAGGCAATTCTCCTGCCTCAGCCTCCTGAGTAGCTGGGATTACAGGCACGCGCCACCATGCCCAGCTAATTTTTTTGTATTTTTAGTAGAGACGGGGTTTCACCATGTTGACCAGGATGGTCTCAATCTCTTGACCTCGTGATCCACCCGCCTTGGCCTCCCAAAGTGCGGGGATTACAGGCTTGAGCCACCGTGCCCGGCCCCGTATTCTTTTTTTGAGACAGAATCTTACTCTGTCACCCAGGCTGGAGTACAGCCATGCAATCTCTGCTCACTGCCACCTCCCCCTCCCCCTCCCAGGTTCCTGTGATTCTTCTGTCTCAGCCTCCCAAGTAGCTGAGATTACAGGTGTGTGCCACCACACCTGGCTAACTTTCGTATTTGTAGTAGAGATGGGGTTTCACCATGTTGGCCAGGCTGGTCTCCAACTCCTGGCCTCAAGTGGTCTGCCTGCTTTGCCCTCCCAGAGTCCTGGAATTACAGGTGTGAGCCCCTCCACCACCTGGCCAATTGTATATATTCTTTTTTTTCTTTTTGAGATGGAGTCTTGTTCTATCACCCAGGCTGGAGTGCAATGGCACGATCTTGGCCCACTGCAACCTCTGTCTCCAAGATTCTAGCTATTCTCCTGCCTCTGCCTCCAAGTAGCTGGGACTACAGGTGCCTGCCACCACACCCAGCTAATTTTTGTATTTTTAGTAGAGATGGGGTTTCACCATGTTGGCCAGCCTCGTCTCAAACTCCTAACCTCAGGTGATCCACCCGCCTTGTCCTCCCAAAGTTGCTGGGATTACAGGTGTGAGTCACTGCACCCGATCTTGTGTGTAATTTTTATAAACATCTTCACTTTAAGATGGTAAAGTGCCCAAAAGAATTAGTTATACTAAAATACTAAAGGAAGACTAAATTGTTTAAGGGGAAGAACTGAATTAGTGATCAATGTTTCAATGTTTAAGAAAATTTAAATGGCCAGGTGTGGTGGCTCATGCCTGTAATCCAAGCACTTTGGAGGCCAAGGTGGGCGGATCACCTGAGGTCGAGAGTTCAAGACCAGCCTGACCAACATGGTGAAACCCTGTCTTTTTTTAAAAAAAAGAAAATTTTGGTGTTTTCCTTATTAGATACAAGAATTTAATAAACTTAAAATTACACAAACTATAAACAGCAGTGAATACTATTCTCTATGCACCAAGCTTCTTGCAATTCATCAATTATTTCATGTAAAACTGACCACCCAGAAAGTAGCACCATGTTATCAGTTCTCTAATGGCTTCCTCTACCCATAAGCATTTCCCCAGATGAAAACCAAAGTAATCTAAGTGTCTCTTCCTTAAAATCTGAATGCGTCTTTTGATATCATTATTACTATTAAATATTAAGCTCTTAGTATTCTTTTATCAACCAAATAGCCTATGATATACAATGGCCAGGCATTGTGCTAGATACTAAAGAGTCAAAAATCTGGCCGGGCACGGTGGCTCACGCCTGTAATCCCAGCTCTTTGGGAGGCCGAGGCAGGTGGATCACGAGATCAAGAGATCGAGACCATCCTGGTCAACATGGTGAAACCCCGTCTCTACTAAAAATACAAAAAATTAGCTGGGCATGGTGGCGCGTGCCTGTAATCCCAGCTACTCAGGAGGCTAAGGCAGGAGAATTGCCTGAACCCAGGAGGCGGAGGTTGTGGTGAGCCGAGATCGAGCCATTGCACTCCAGCCTGGGTAACAAGAGTGAAACTCTGTCTCAAAAAAAAAAAAAGAGTGAAAAATAATCCAGAAAGAACTGGAAACAGAGTTCCTTCTCCTGTATTCCTCATTTTGAGCCCACCTTTCTGGTCTCTCCTCCTGGCCTTCCTCTGGTTAAAGGGATGTCCTCAAATGCTGTACCTTCCAAGCAGAATGGCATAAAATATTCCCACTTCAACATCTCCATACCATGCTTGTGCATTCTCAACACTCCCTCTTTATCCTGGAGGGCAGCCATACAGGCTGAATTTTTGCATCTGAAGATCTGCTCCTCTCTTTTAAATTCAGCACTGATTAATTTAAAAAAAAAAAAAGGCTTATGCAATAAGAAAGAAAACTTCCTCAACTCAATGAGTAGCAGCTACAAAATACTTACTGTTAGGAAAGACAGTCACTGACAGTCACTGTAGGTCTCTTACACGTCTTGCTGGGTATGCCTAGAATGCAAGTCTCTAACTACTCTTTAACTGGGCCATTTTCCAGGGTTATTTATGCAGCTGATAACCTTGAGAGATGAGATAACAGCACAAACAGCAGGCTTGCTTACGTCTTGAGGTCAGGAGCTTGAGACTAGCCTGGCCATCATGGTAAAACTCTGTCTCTGCTAAAAATACAAAAATTAGCCGGGCATGGTAGCACCTGCCTGTAATCCCAGCTACTTGGGAGGCTGAGGCAGGAGAATCACTTGAACCTGGGAGACAGAGGTTGCGATGAGCTGAGATCGCACTACTACACTCCAGCCTGGGCGAAAGAACAAGACTCTGTCTCAAAAGGAAAAAAAAAAAAAAAAACTATGATGACATTGCACCACACAACCAATAAAATAGTTAAAAGACTAACAGTACCGCCGGGCGCGGTGGCTGAAGCCTGTAATCCCAGCACTTTGGGAGGCCGAGATGGGTGGATCACGAGGTCAAGAGATCGAGACCATCCTGGTCAACATGGTGAAACCCCGTCTCTACTAAAAATACAAAAAATTAGCTGGGCATGGTGGCGCGTGCCTGTAATCCCAGCTACTCAGGAGGCTGAGGCAGATGAACTGCCTGAGCCCAGGAGGCAGAGGTTGCGGTGAGCCAAGATCTCACCATTGCACTCCAGCCTGGGTAACAAGAGCGAAACTCCGTCTCAAAAAAAAAAAAAAAAAACTAACAGTACCAAATTATGAAGAGGATTTGAGGATATGAAGCAACTGGAAATTTCATACATTGCTGGATGGAGGGTAAACTGGAACAACCACATGGAAACTTGGTAGTATCTATTAAACATTAGCCTACCCTATGATCTAGCAATGCCACTCCTAAGTGTTAACCCTGGACAAAAAGCCTTCATATGTTCATGAAAAACATGGTAGAGTGTTCACAGCAGCAGCATCATTTGTAACAGCCCCAATCTGGAAACTACCCAAATATCTATCAACAATGTAATTAACTAATATGCTGCAATATATCCCCAATGTAATGAGAACTAAGTATAATTACACTGAACAACATGAATTTCACAAACATAATGTAGAACAAAAGAAGCCAGGCATAAAACAGTACATGCTGTATAATTCCATGTATACATAAAGTTCAAGAATGTGTAAAACAGCTGGACACACTAGCTCACACCTGTAATCTCAGCACTTTGGGAGGCCGAAGCAGATGGATCACCTGAAGTCAGCAGTTCAAGACCAGCCTGACCAACCTGGTGAAACCCAGTCTCTATTAAAAATACAAAAATTAGCCAGGCATGGTGGCTGGTGCCTATAATCCCAGCTACTCAGGAGGCTGAGGCAGGAGAATCTTTTGAACCTGAGAGGCGAAGGTTGCAGTGAACCAAGATTGCATCATTACGCTCCAGCCTGGGCAACAAGAGAGAGACTCTGTCTAAAAAAAAAAAAAAAAAAAAGAATGGGTAAAACTAGTTAAGGATGATAGAATTCTGAATAGATTGTGGGGGAGAAACAACTGAGAAGGGGCATGAGGAAACCATCTCAGGTCTTGGTGGCAAAGTTCTTTATATACATCTAGGAGTGTTACACAGCTGTACACTTAAGACTTGCACATTTTATATAAGCTCTATCAACAGCCTCCTGCTTTGTTGACCAGGCTGGAGGGCACTGGTGTGATCACGGCTTACTGCAGCTGCAAACTACTGGGCTCAAGCAATCCTTGTATCTCAACCTCCTAAGTAGCTAGAACTTACAGGTGCCAGCCACCATGCTTGGCTAACTTTTTTTTGTAATGTATTAATTAATCTATTTATGGTAAAGTCAGGGTCTCACTATGTTGCCCAGGCTAGTCTCCAACTCCTGGCCTCAAGCGATCCTCCAGCTTTGGCCTGGCAAAGTGCTGGGATTACACACGTGAGCCCCACACCTGGCCTAAAAAAATCTTTTTAACTCTTGGAACTATGTTTTGGTAGGGATATGGAGCAATAAAATATTTCAAACATTGCTGTTCAAGTACAAGTTTGTCCTCCCACTCTGGTAGATATTTTGACACTGTTTAGTAAAGTGGAAGATATCATATGGACCAGCAATTCTACTGGTAAATAAACTCAAGCATGTGTACCCCATGTGAAAGAACGTTTGTGGCTGTGTTGTTTATAAAATTAAAAAAAAAAAACTATAAATAACTAATACGTCCATCATTAGAAAGGATGAATAATTGTGGTATACTTCAAAAGCGAGAATACAATATAGCAAAAAAATTGAATGAACTGCTATTTTATCTAATAGGGATGATTTACAGAATTGTAAAAATAAACCGGAGAGAGTACAACAACATTCATATAAAGTTTTAAAACGGGGAAAAACTGGAGTATAATGCCTCGAGAAGTACACATAAGTGATAAAACCTCACATTGTGTGACTTATACAGCCACACAAACCTGATCACATTCCCACCATGGGGACATTCGACTACAGACAATCCACACCCAAAGCAACAGGGTCGCACATGCAGGGCCCCTATCGATCACACAAGCACAAGGGCACACTTACCGAGGAGACATTCACAGTATAACCACACTGTCAGTCGGCGCACACCTGTACCCGGTCACAGTCACGATCACACACTAACCACAGCTACACACACAGATAGAAACATGCAGTTACTCGCAGGTATCCCCACCTGAACTCTGCCGCACACAGTCACACAGCCACACAGTCCCACCCCACTACGGGGACAACAGGGACTCGAGCAGCCACAAGCTCCCCACAGCCGCGCACACAATGCCGCACGTGGCCCTGCTCCTTCTCACACACACCAGCAGCCAGTCTCCGAGGCCGTGCTGCACACGGTGTGAGCGTTGGAAACACTCATCACAAGAGCAGCCTGTCACAATCGCGCGATCATTCACCACACACCTCCACAGAGACGCAAGCGCACACTTTCGACCTCACCTCTATCGACGCACAAGGCCGAGGCTCGGCCCCCGGACCCGCCCTCTCCCAGGTTCCTCACCTTAGGCCTAACGAGCTCCCGAAGCAGCAGAAACCTCCGTGGCACTAGGGTAGTTGTTGGTGAAGTCCTGGGGGTCCCGCCAGCGCGTGACTTGGAGGCTGAATCCCGCGAGAAGCACAGTCATACCGAGGAGTCCTCTGGGAGATGTAGTCAGAGACGTATTAGGGCTGGACAAGATGACTCCCGATCCTCAGGACAGCTGACCGCGCCTAGAGTCAGCCCCGCAGAAAGGATCGCGCCCCTCATCTAACAGCGGACGCCCCAGAGTCTTCATGGAGCCCCGCTTCAGGCTCAGACCCTGGCCCCCAAAGAAAGCCACTCCGACGTGTTTGAGATGGGCTTAGCTCCTGGACTCGTCCTATTGTCCCCAGGCGCTGGACAGCCTCAGAAACACGACAGCTCAGCATGGGAAGCCTACCGCACCGCTGAGCCTTCTGGGAGATGTAGTTCGGAACTGGGAAGGCAGTTGGACCCTTGGAAAGTCATCTTTTTTTTTTTTTTTTTTTTTTTTTTTTTTGAGACGGAGTTTCGCTCTTGTTACCCAGGCTGGAGTGCAATGGCGCGATCTCCGCTCACCGCAACCTCTGCCTCCCGGGTTCAGGCAATTCTCCTGCCTCAGCCTCCTGAGTAGCTGGGATTACAGGCACGCGCCACCATGCCCAGCTAATTTTTTGTATTTTTAGTAGAGACGGGGTTTCACCATGTTGACCAGGATGATCTCAATCTCTTGACCTCGTGATCCACCCGCCTCGGCCTCCCCAAGTGCTGGGATTACAAGCTTGAGCCACTGCGCCCGGCCGGAAAGTTATCTAATTGCTCTCACATATTAGCCGGCGCTGGGCCACCGGCCGGAGACTTCCGGGAGTACTGTGCATCCAGTATGCGCAGGCGTAAACATCCCGCGTTGCTGTTTTGGCCACTGTTCTGGCGTGAATTTTGTTTGGTGCTCCTTAGTGCAGAGAGGTTATGGGACCAGGGGTTGTAAGACTCAAAGCTGGTTGGGGAGGCAAAAAGGGTGTAGACCAAGAATTTGCGATGTAATTGGGGAGGTCGAAGGGAAGGTATCCCAAATGTGGGACGGGTTTGGAGAAAAAGAGAGGAGTCTGGAATTGCAAAGGGCAGGTGTTATTCTGACTTCTGTGTGCTTTGTGATAAATGAGTGGGAAACGAAGTAAGGAGCGTTTCACTTTCTCCTGCAATTATTTTGTGTACTTGGACTAAGTATAGCTAATGGCCAATATTTGCCTGCTTTTGACCTATAAAGATACTGTATACACAGGCATGCATAGCTTAATAATAAGGGCAAATTCTGGCCTAGCGCGGTGGCTCACTCCTGTAATCCCAGCGCTTTGGGAGGCCAAGGGGTTCGAGACCAGCCTGGGCAACATGGTGTAAACCCTGTCTATACTAAAAATGCAAAAATTAGCCGGACGTCGTGGCCCGTGCCTGTAGTCCCAGCTAATGGGGAAGCTGAGGTAAGTAGAATCGCTTGAACCTGGGAGGCAGAGGTTGCAGTGAGCCGAGATTGCGCCACTACACTCCAGCCTGGGCTACAGAGTGAGACTCATTCTCAAAAACAAACAAACAAACAAAGATATATTCTGAGAAATGAGTTGTTGGGTAATTTCATCACCGTGTAATAATTTCATCATTATACAGTGTACTTACACAAACCTAGATGGTATAGCTGACTTAACACTTAGGCTATACGGTATAACCTGTTGCTCCTAGACTAGAAACCTGTAGAGCATGTTACTGTACTGAATACAGTATATATACTGAAAACAGTTGTAACACGATGATAAGTATTTATCTAAACATATCTGAAAACACAAAAGGTAAGGTAAAAAACAGTATAAAAAGTAAAAACTGATACACCTGTACAGGGTACTTACCATGAATAGAGCCTGCAGAACTGGAAAGTGCTCTGGAGAGTCAGTGAGGGGTGCCTGAATGTGAAGGCTAGGACATTACCATACATCACTGTAGACTTTATAAACAGTGTAAACTTAGGCTGCACTACATTTATTTTTTTTCTTCCGTAATAACCTTTGCTTGCTCTAACTTTTTTACTTTATAAACATTTACATTTTTTAAAACTTTTTGACTCTTCGGTAATATCACTTAGCTTAAAACACAGCTCATGCGTGCTCTGTATCTCTTGGTAAGGAAATGTTCCAGGCCAAATGTCATTCTTATGTGGCCAGGTAGAGGTAGGAGGACTGCATGCATGATACCGACTCTCCCAACCATGGGTTTGTATTCTAACATATCACCACAATGCCCAGTATTTATGGGGTCATAGAAAATAGGATTCACTATGACTGGAGAATTTCCAGAGCCAATTTAAGTCCAGGAATGCTGGCAATGAGAATGGTGAGTAGGAATCTAGTGTAATGATTTACACAGTTGAAACTATTAATTGGGCCAGGCGTGGTGGCTCATTCCTGTAATCCCGCACTTTGTGAGGCCAAGGTAGGCAGATCACCCGAGGTCAAGAATTCGAGTCCAGGCCGGGCGCCGTGGCTCAAGCCTGTAATCCCAGCACTTTGGGAGGCCGAGGCAGGTGGATCACAAGGTCAAGAGATCGAGACCATCCTGGTGAACATGGTGAAACCCCGTCTCTACTAAAAATACAAAACATTAGCTGGGCATGGTGGCGCGTGCCTGTAATCCCAGCTACTCAGGAGGCTGAGGCAGGAGAATTGCCGGAACCCAGGAGGCGGAGGTTGTGGTGAGCCGAGATCACGCCATTGCACTCCAGCCTGGGTAACAAGAGTGAAACTCTGTCTCAAAAAAAAAAAAAAAAAAAAAAGTTAACATTATGAAAATTAACAAAGCAAATCTGGGAGCAAATGAGGTTTATACTCATCAAAGCAGAATACAATTAAGTAGTATCATAGGGCCGGGTGCGGTGGATCAAGCCTGTAATCCCAGCACTTTGGGAGGCCGAGGCGGGTGGATCACGAGGTCAAGAGATTGAGACCATCCTGGTCAACATGGTGAAACCCCGTCTCTACTAAAAATACAAAAAATTAGCTGGGCATGGTGGCACATGCCTGGCGCATCCCAGTAGCTGGTGCATCCCAGCTACTCAGGAGGCTGAGGCAGGAGAATTGCCTGAACCCAGGAGGCGGAGGTTGCGGTGAGCCGAGATGGTGCCATTGCACTCCAGCCTGGATAACAAGAGTGAAACTCTGCCTCAAAAAAAAAAAAAAAAAAGGGCCGGGCGCGGTGGCTCAAGCCTGTAATCCCAGCACTTTGGGAGGCCGAGGCGGGTGGATCACGAGGTCAAGAGATCGAGACCATCCTGGTCAACATGGTGAAACCCCGTCTCTACTAAAAATACAAAAAATTAGCTGGGCATGGTGGCACGCGCCTGTAATCCCAGCTTCTCAGGAGGCTGAGGCAGGAGAATTGCCTGAACCCAGGAGGCGGAGGTTGCGGTGAGCCGAGATCGCGCCATTGCACTCCAGCCTGGGTAACAAGAGCGAAACTCCGTCTCAAAAAAAAAAAAAAAAAAAAAAAAAAAAAAAAAAGTAGTATCATAGGATCTATTGCAGAGGATATGTTGTTCTTTTGGACCTGACTCTGGTATCTATTAAAAATATTTAAATAACATATATCCTTTGATCTACCATTCCCTTCCCTGTAAATCTGACCCGCAGAAATAAAAACAACTGAATTTAAGGGATGATTACATGAATTTTTATTGTAGCATTGTTTATACTGGCAAATAAGCAAACTGAATAAACAAGCGGGCAGCTGAACAAATTTATAGTACACAGTATTAGAGAATATTATGTAACAATTGCTCATCTTACTCTGACCCTCATAATCATTCTTTTTGCTGGGTCCAGGACCATGGCCGACTCAAGGCACGAAGGTAGTCCTCCTGGTTTGGTCTGAACTTGAGTCCTAGTTATTCTGGTGACTTCAAAGCTGCAATAGTACATGGGCAAAACACTTAAAAAGTATGAAAGATTAGCTGGGCGCGGTGGCTCAAGCCTGTAATCCCAGCACTTTGGGAGGCCGAGGCGGGTGGATCACGAGGTCAAGAGATCGAGGCCATCCTGGTCAACATGGTGAAACCCCGTCTCTACTAAAAATACAAAAAATTAGCTGGGCATGGTGGCGTGTGCCTGTAATCCCAGCTACTCAGGAGGCTGAGGCAGGAGAATTGCCTGAACCCAGGAGACGGAGGTTGCGGTGAGCCGAGATCGCGCCATTGCACTCCAGCCTGGGCAACAAAAGCGAAACTCCGTCTCAAAAAAAAAAAAAAAAAAGTATGAAAGATTAAGTAAAGCAAAATGAGAAATAGAACAGTTTAGATTCATGTACACATACAAATATTTTATTTGGGTATCTGGGTACATTACCTCAGAAAATCAACTGTCATTTTCAATCTTATCTCAAGAGCAACCTCCAGAAATGCTATAAGTGCTATAATATTAACATTGCATTGAGTTTTAAAGAAATTAATGAATTTGGCTGGGCACGGTGGCTCAAGCCTGTAATCCCAGCACTTTGGGAGGCCGAGGCGGGTGGATCACGAGGTTGAGAGATGGAGACCATCCTGGTCAACATGGTGAAACCCCATCTCTACTAAAAATACAAAAAATTAGCTGGGCATGGTGGCACGTGCCTGTAATCCCAGCTTCTCAGGAGGCTGAGGCAGGAGAATTGCCTGAACTCAGGAGGCGGAGGTTGCAGTGAGCCGAGATGGCATGCCATTGCACTCCAGCCTGGGTAACAAGAGCGAAACTCCGCCTCAAAAAAGAAAAAAGAAATTAGTATATTTAAAATCAGTCTGAGATTTAAAGGCTGTATACTCATTTTTATAATCATTCAAAAATATCATTAGAAGCTTTCTCTGTCAAGTTATTGTGGAAAGAAATCCAAGTAAACAGAAATTCTCAGAAAGACTGGCTTCAAGTAAGAGCACCCTGTTTAGGTGGGAGATCTCCTTTTTCAGCACTATCTTCCCAAGGTAAGAAGCGGGCTGGGATTGACTTGAGTGTGTCTGACATAATTAAGAAAGCAATTTAGTCTGCAGGTTAAAAGTGAAGGTGAAATCCAGAAGTTAATGTTTTACTCAATGGCTTATAAAAAAAAATTAAAGAGTGACAGTTTTCTCATTTTCAAAGTGGCTAATTTTTAATGCCAATACTGGTTGTGCAGAATATTAAAATTTCTCATAAATGTTTTAGTAAAAACAAATTGTCTCCATGTCTGTGCATATATTTAATAATATGATCCTTAAATGTGCTCCAATGAACCTGTTGCAAATCATATCCTCCAAGACTATGTACAGATTAGAACTACATACAGATTATGTAGACTACCCTTGTGACACATTAGTTTAATTGCATTTAAGTTGCCACTCCAATTAAAAATTATTTCATATTTTAAAGATATTTTAGAAATATCTTCTATAGAATATTAGTATCTGACTAGGAATGTAAGTCCATTATAATGTTTCATGTACAGCTTCCTCACTCCTATCTGGAGCTTTTGAATTTTCAGGAAGTTTAAGGAAATAGCATGAATGATAGAATGAACACAAATACTACCACCACCCAGAATTAACATTTTAATGTTTACTTAGAATACTTATTTCTTTTTAGTAAGAAATAAATACAAAATTGAAGTATCCTTTAACTAGCAAGCTTCGTCACATTTCCCTTCCACCTCCCTTCTTCCTAGAGTTAACCACTCCACTTTTGGGAATAGAGTGCATACCCTTTCAATCCATTCTTCAGTGTTACATAATTTATCCATAACCAATGCTTAGTACTAGGGCTGGTCAGTGTTGATTTTATTCAAATTCACAGGAGCATCATTACAATATGTTCATCGTTTTTCTTCACTTTAATGGTTTAAAAAAAATCTGTTAATATATAGACTTCATTTATCACTTAACTGCTAGAGAGTATTCTATGTTACTCTATCACATTTTATTCATCTATGTCACAGGAGACAGGCATGTTTCCCAATTTCTGGCTACTGTAACTCATGCTGCAATGAATTATACAGCTACAGACCAGTATGACTCCCTGTATTCATGTGTTCTTAGATATATAGATATATATGGTAGTTCCCCCTTATCCAGAGCTTTGCCTTCCATGGTTTCAGTTACCTGTGGTCACCACAGTTCAAAAATGGTTGACAACAGTATAATAAGGTATTCTGAAAGATCACATTCACATAACTTATTATTACAATATATTGTAATAATTGTTCCATTATATATTATTGTTTTAAATCTCTTGCTGTATCTAATTTGTAAACTAAATTTTATCATAGGTATATATATATATATATATATGAAAAAACATGGAGTTTGGTACTATCTGGGTTTCAGGTATCCACTGGAGGTCTTGGAGTCCATCCCTTGCAGAAAATCAGGGACTACTGAACTCAAGAGTGAAACTGCTGTGTATTCTAGAATGTTTTTAGAAATTCTTTCCTGCCCCAAGGTTTTAAAAACATTTTCCTATAAAACTGTTACATGATTAAGTATTGCTTTTTGCATTTTAGTCTTCGCTATTTTTAGAATTCCTAAGAAAAATATTTTAATGTATGATGATGGTAGAGATCTATTATTTTTCCATATGAAGAGTCAATTAAGTAATCCATGATTTCCCCACCAATTTGGGATACCACCTCATTAAATTAGCGGTTCCCCATATATTCATGTACATATTTCTGAAACCAATAATCTGTCTCAGTCACAATTTTATGACTGCTTCAACAACAAATAGTTTTGATGATTATAGTTTTGAGTCATACATGTAACAAAACATATCACAAAAATAATAAATTTTGTCTCTTAATTTCAAATCCTTATACGTCTCATATCTCTTTTTTTTTTATTTTTAAATAAAGACGGGGTTTCACCATGTTGGTCAGGCTGGTCTTGAACTCCCGACCTTCAGGTGATCTGCCCACCTTGGCCTCCAAAGTGCTTGGATTACAGGCGTGAGTCACCATGCCCGGCCTCTTATCTATTTCTTAATGCATCTGGTAGGCCTTCTAAGAACATTGTAAGTAGTGTCCATGACTAGATCTAACTTCGATAAGAATACTCCTAGAAGTAGAGCATCAATAATGCTTGTTGTGGGAGTTTTGGGGGTACAGGTTTTCTTTATAATACTTAATAGACATCACAGTATTTAAGTTTTGAATTGCTGCTGGACTTCCCACATTCGTGTCACTTTAACGTAAAATGAATTTTCCAATACACTATTCAGTGTAAAATCTGCTGAACATTTTGCTAAATCCAAGGCATTCAGAGAGAACTTTAATGGGTATGAATTCTCTGGTGTCTAATGTGATGTGACTTTTGGCTGAAAGCTTTCCCACATTCACTACACTGATAAGGTTTTTCACCAGTATGGATTCTCATATGCAGAGCAAGAGTTGAGAACTGAGAAAAGGCTTTCCCACATTCATTACAACCATAGGGTTTCTCACCTGTATGGCTTCTCATATGCACAGTAAGAGATGAGCTTTGACAGAAGGCTTTCCCACAGACCTTGCACTCATAAGGCTTATCACCCGTATGAATTCGCACATGCACAATAAGTGATGTGATTCGGGAGAAGGCTTTTCCACATTTATTACATTCATAGGGTTTCTCTCCTGTATGAATATTGTGATGTTTAATGAGGTATTGCTTCTGCCTGAAGATTGTTCCACATTCATTACATTTGTAGGGTTTCTCTCCAATATGAATTTTCTCATGCTCAGTGAGATTTGATTTGCCACTGAAGGCTTTCCCACATTCCTTACATGTATAAGGTTTCTCTCCTGTGTGGCTTCTCTGGTGCCTAATGAGGCTTGACTTCTGAATGAAAGCTTTCCCACATCCTTTACATTCATAAGGTTTCTCTCCGGTATGGATTCTCTGATGTATAATAAGGTTTTCCTTCTGGCTAAAAGCTTTTCCACACTCACTACACTTAAAGGGCTTCTTTCCAGTGTGGATGTTCTGATGTTTAATGAGGTATTGCTTCTGGCTGAAGGCTCTTCCACACTGATTACATTCAAATGGTTTTTCTCCAGTATGAATTTTCTCATGCTCAGTGAGATATGCTTTGCCGTTAAAGGCTTTGCCACATTCCTTACATGCATAGGGTTTGGTTCCTGTATGATTTTTCTGGTGTTTGATGAGGGTTGGCATCTGAATAGAAACTTTTCCACATTCATAAGGTTTCTCTCCACTATGATGTTTCTGATGAGAAAGGAAGTTTTCCTTCTGGCTGAAGGCTTTTCCACATTTATTACAATTATATGCTTTCTTTCCTGTGTGACTTCTGAGGTGTAGAGTAAGGGATGAGACTCGAGAGAACACTTTACCACATTCAGTGCATTCATGAGATTTCTCTCCAGTATGCATTTTCTTATGTTCTAGGAAGTTTTCCTTCAGGCTAAAGGTTTTTCTACATTCATTACATTCATAAGGTTTCTCTCCAGCATGAATTTGATCATGCTGAAGGAGATCTGATTCATGCTGAAGACTTTCCAACATTCCTATCATGAATGTGAATATAATCAGGAGACTTTCCCTAGTACCAAATAAGATATAATAAGGATGAAAGCTTTCCCACATTCGCTAAATTCATAAGGTGTATTTTCAATATTAATTCTCAGGTATCTAACAAAGTTAAATTTATGAAAAAAAATTTTTCTCACATTGATTACCCTGAGATGATTATGAAAAGGGATAAAATATAACATCTCTTTATATTCTTAATGGTTCTTATAGAGCTTCTCTCATATTTAAGTATAAATTGTGTATAAGTTATGTTTCAAACTCTTTTAGACTGAGTCCCATACACAGAAGGGTAGTCTTGAATAATCAATGACTGTGTTCAGATGAAATATGTTTCCTGAATTTTTCCTCAGTCTGTATTTTCAGAAAAAGATGAGACTTAACTTACAAGTCTTTCATGTTGCGTCTTTATCTGTTTATAAACTTCCCGGGCTTCTTCTAAAAGGAATTGCAAAGAAATCATCATTGAAAAAGAGTTAATACATATATAATATATAGTGCTTGGCATGTAATAAGCATCCAGTAAATTATCACTCTCATCAACATAACATCACTAATACCTGTGAACTTTCCCATTATTAATATAATTTCAGAAATGTGTTATTGTAAAATAGATTCTTTTTTCTTTTTTTTTGAGACAGAGTTTCACTCTTGTTACCCAGTCTGGAGTGCAATGGTGCAATCTCGGCTCACTGCAACCTCCACCTCCTGGGTTCAGGCAATTCTCCTGCCTCAGCCTCCTGAGTAGCTGGGATTACAAGCACGTGCCACCATGCCCAGCTAATTTTTTGTATTTTTAGTAGAGACGGGGTTTCACCATGTTGACCAGGATGGTCTCGATCTCTTGACCTTGTGATCCACCCACCTTGGCCTCCCAAAGTGCTGGGATTACAGGCATGAGCTACTGTCGCCTGGCCTAAAATAGATTCTTTATCCAAGCCTAGTCTCTTAGTAGAAAGTTCAAATACAAATGATGTTCCTAGATATGTATAATTTTAACTGCTTTTAAATGTAATCCAGCCCACTTCTTAAATCAGTAAAATGGGAGAAAACAAGGCCAGGTGTGGTGGTTCACACCTACAATCCCAGCACTTCTGAAGGATGAGGCAGGAAAATTGCTTGAGGCCAGGAGTTTGAGAATAGCCAGGGTAAAAGAGTGAGACTCCTGTCTTTATAAAAAATTTAAAAACTAGCCTGCAGTCCTCCTGTAGTCCTCAGGAGGTTAAGGTGGGCAGATTGCTTGAGCCCAGGATTTGAAGACTGCAATAAGCTATGATTGTGCCACAGCCTGGGTGACAGAGCAAGACTTGGTCTTGGTCTTTAAAACATAAATAGGTGAGAAACGGGAGGAAAGGACAAATACTTAAAAGACCGGGAGAGCCTAGGAAGATAGAACATAAATAAAATGAACAGGAAAGTTTAAATAAGGTGCTTGTTTCTATGTCTTCCTGAAACATCATTAAAATGACAGTAAAACAGTGAAGAGGGGCACATACTTACAAGAACTAAAAGGTTAGAAAGACATCAGTAGACAAAAAGTATTACAACGGCTGGGCGCAGTGGCTTGTGCCTGTAATCCTAGCACTTTGGGAGGCCAAGTTGGGTGGATCACCTGAGGTCAGGAGTTCAAGACCAGCCTGCCCATCAAGGTGAAACCCCATCTTAAAAAAAAAAAAAAGTATTAAGAGGGCAAGAGATAGTGGCTCATTCCTGTAATCCCAGCACTTTGGGAGGCCAAGGCAGGAGGATTATTTGAAGCTATGAGTTTGAGATCAGCCTAAGCAGCACAATGAGGCCTTATCTCTACAAAAATTTATAAAATTAGCCAGGTGTGGTAGCATACACCTGTAGTCTTAGTTACCTGGGAGGTTCAAGTAGGAGGATTGCTTGAGCCCAGGAGTCTGAGGCTGCAGTATGCTATGATCATGCCGCAGCAATCCAGACTAGGTGACAGAGTATGACCCTGTCTCTTAAAAAAAAAAAAAAAATCTTAGGAAATTTTGGAAAGAAAGCAAATAGAGAACTGTAAATTAACAGCAGAACTGAGTGGTTCAAAGAAAAGCCAGCAGATGTAGGTGCCCCTACACATGATTATAATACAGATATTAACAGATAGGCTCTATCAACAGAGAGACTGGGGAAGAGTGGAAGGCAGGGCTTATAAAATGACTGTGAAAGGACCAGCTAATGCCCTGAACTCTCCTAGCTGGACAGAAATGTGAAGTTTATCATCCACACAAAACCAAGAGGCTCCAAATTTAGTGATGAGCAAAGTAGATGACAGCATCCTAGTAATAAGAGAAGAATGAGTAAAAGTTTATACATGTAATAGAAGCTCTTCTGTTAGATTCCGAGAACGCTGGTGGTTGCTAAGTGTCAGATGATGGAAGAATTGTTTACTGAAAAAACGAGAAGACCATGAGAACACCTACAGATACTAACATTTGGAATCATCGAAAGCAACACATCTGTAATTAGTGATTGCTGCACAGTGAAATGAGCATTTTACAAGCCCCACTTATCTACACAAATTAATGCAGAGCTAAAGATTAGAAAACATTTGATGAAAGCCCTAACATCAAAGCTAGACCAAACAAAATACAAGACAAAGCGCAGAAAAACTCACACATATAACATTACAAATAATATCATGGAAAGCTAGGATATTACTATTATCACTGTAATTAAATATTAACAATGTTCTATAAAGAAGTGTTTTAGAAATAAACAATATGATATTGATCTTACAAATTCAGTATGTTGGAGAAAGTCAGTCTAGAAAATCTCCTAGAATAAAAAAAGGAAGACTGGAAGAAGAAAGGGAGAAAGAAAGAGTATAATGATTGGAGCATTAGTGGGTTACTGGAAGAATCCAGAAGGCTCAACATCTACTAAAGGAGATCCAAAGAAAGCATGAAGAAAAATGAATGTAGGACATTTTCAAAGAACTAATAAAGAACACTTCCCAGAATTATAAATCATAAGTCTACATACTTAGCAGGTCCACTGAGTACAAAGAGCATTCCATTTAAAAAGATCCCAACTTGGCCAACATGGTAAAATCCTGTCTCTACTAAAAATATAAAAAATTAGCTAGGCATGGTGGCAGGCACCTGTAATCCCAGCTACTCAGGAGGCTGAGGCAGAAGAATCACTGGAACCTGGGAGGTGAAGGTTGCAGTGAGCCGAGATTGCAACACTGCACTCCAGCCTGGGGACAGAGGGAGACTCTGTCTAAAAAAAAATTTTTTTTAATAAATAAATGAAATAAAATAAAGAAGAAAAATAGAGCTCTGGCTCCCTTAAGCCCAAGGCGTAGATGGCTTGGCATGTGAATTTTATTAAACTTTGATTAGATAATGGTATTATTATTTATGTTTTCCAATTACTTTTTTTTTTTTTTTTTTTGAGACGGCGTTTCACTCTTGTTACCCAGGCTGGAGTGCAATGGCGCGATCTTGGCTCACCGCAACCTCCACCTCCTGGGTTCAGGCCATTCTCCTGCCTCAGCCTCCTGAGTAGCTGGGATTACAGGCACGCGCCACTATGCCCAGCTACTTTTTTGTATTTTTAGTAGAGACAGGGTTTCATCATGTTGGCCAGTATGGTCTCGATCTCTTCTTGACCTCGTGATCCACCTGCCTCGGCCTCCCAAAGTGCTGGGATTACAGGCTTGAGCCACCGCGCCTGGCCTTTCCAATTACTTTTTAAAAATTCATGAAAATTGGTATTATGCATAACAGATCATGACTTAATGCTGCTATATTCCAAACAACCCTCCAAAAATTAAAAATTAAAAATTACAACTTCTTTGTAATTAAAACCCTATCTCCTTCATACATACTTATCAGAATTGAATTTTTAACACTGTAAATGACAATGCTGAACTGAACTAGAAAATGTCTTCAGAATACCAAGTAAAACGGTTATTTCAACATTTATCTCATGTTTAAAAAATATTTTTGGCCGGGCGCGGTGGCTCAAGCCTGTAATCCCAGCACTTTGGGAGGCCGAGGCGGGTGGATCACGAGGTTGAGAGATGGAGACCATCCTGGTCAACATGGTGAAACCCCATCTCTACTAAAAATACAAAAAACTAGCTGGGCGTGGTGGCGCGTGCCTGTAATCCCAGCTACTCAGGAGGCTGAGGCAGGAGAATTGCCTGAACCCAGGAGGCGGAGGTTGCGGTGAGCCGAGATCGCGCCATTGCACTCCAGCCTGGGTAACAAGAGTGAAACTCTGTCTCAAAAAAAAAAAAAAAAAAAAAAAAAAAACCCATTCCTACATTCCTTAAACTGGTACCTTTTGAGGTTTATTATAGTCACTTAGCTTTACTGTGATTAGTACACGTCTTAGTCTTGTGTCATTGCTTTACATATCATGAATCTGAGATGCCTAATAAATATTAATCACCAGCTTGGACCTCTCTCCTCAGTAACTGATTCAAATATCCAACTGACTACTCAACATTTCCACTTGATGTCTAATAGTGATTTAACTTACCCTGCCCTATTCAAGCTTTTGCTTCAGCTCCCAAACCAATTCCTTTCAAATTCTTCTCATCTCTTTAAATAGCAATCTCATTCCTCTCGTTGCTCAAACAACACTTTTCTTTCTGTCAGATCACACTCTTTACAACCCTGTAACTTACTGGCTATTTTGGACAATCCTCACTGTGACCACCAAGGTCTAAGCCACATGTCTTCCTGGATTATTTAAGAGCCTTCATTGCAGTCTTACTACTTTAGTTTTACCTCTTTACAGTTCTCAACACAGCAGCCACAGCAGTCTTCTCACAGTCAAATCATGTCACTGCTGTACCTGAGAGCCTTTTTGTATACTCATAAAAACAATCAGCCGGAGACCAGCCTGACCAACATGGTGAAACCCCGTCTCTACTAAAAATACAAAAATTAGCCAGGTGTGGTGGCACATGCCTGTAGTCCCAGTTACTCGAGGCTGAGGCAGGAGAATTGCTTGAATCCGGGAGGTGGAAGCTGTAGGGAGCCAAGATTGCACCACTGCACTCCAGCCTGGGCAACACAGCGAGACTCTAAAAAACAACAAGAAAAATAAAACACAAACATTTAGAATCATACAGCAGACACTGCTAACACTGGCTATTTCTGGGAAACAGGGAAGTGAGGGCCAGGAATGAAAAGACATACTCGATTATTTTAATTTTCTATCAAACATACATATTAAACTTTGATAATAATAGTATTATTTCTTTTTAAAATTAACAGGGAAATGAACTAATAGGAAATCAGCACTAATTCCCAAGCCTGCAATATTGTTAAAAAGCAGGAGTGAGGCCGGGCGCGGTGGCTCAAGCCTGTAATCCCAGCACTTTGGGAGGCCGAGGCGGGTGGATCACGAGGTCAAGAGATCGAGACCATCCTGGTCAACATGGTGAAACCCCGTCTCTACTAAAAATACAAAAAATTAGCTGGGCATGGTGGCACATGCCTATAATCCCAGTTACTCAGGAGGCTGAGGCAGGAGAATTGCTTGAACCCAGGAGGCGGAGGTTGCGGTGAGCCGAGATCGCGCCATTGCACTCCAGCCTGGGTAACAAGAGCGAAACTCCATCTCAAAAAAAAAAAAAAAGCAGGAGTGTTGGACTATGATGGCTGGGGTAGGAAGGCAACAAAAAACAAGAGTAAGAAAGCAAAATTCAATTCTGAGGAAGGAGAAAGAATGATAGAAAGTTAAATTGTAAAGAAAAGCATCTACTTGGTAGTTTTTGAAAGATTTTTTTATTGATACATAATAGTTGCACATAGAATAATTACATTTTAAAGAAAGAACTTACATGCCAGTTTTTGAAAGCTAACAGATCTATGAGGGACTGAATGCTTAAGGAAATGCATCTAGACCAGGCGGCCCCAAACTACGGCCCGCAGGCCACATGCGGCCCCCTGAGGCCATTTATCCAGTCCCCCGCCGCACTTCAGGAAGGGGCACCTCTTTCATTGGTGGTCAGTGAGCGGAGCACAGTATGTGGCAGCCCTCCAGCGGTCTGAGGGACAGTGAACTGGCCCCCTGTGTAAAAAGTTTGGGGACACCTGGTCTAGACGTACAGGGAAAAGTGAAAAATGGAAAATATTAGCGAAAGGAAGAAAAGTGAAATTGAGGCCGTAAAAAATCATAAAATTCAGGCTGCAAATGATGTACAGTGACTGGCATCCAGAATAGAGTTTAGAATAGCCATCAGTCCTCTAGAGTCTGATAAAAGGGATGTATAGATTCAGGGAGAAAGAAGGTCAGGAAGAAGGTCTGGAAATGTCATTTAGGTATCTAAAGAATTCCCAGCAATAATAGTCACTCCAAAAGACAAAGGCTCAAAAAGACAAACAGAAAAACTCAGAGGCTGTAAACTCTCATTGAATAACTATAATAAGCCTTTATCCCATTCATACCTGCCAGGTTCTCAATTACTCACATAAAGAGAACCTTCTTTACATTTCTTTCTCAGTCATCCATTGCTGTTCTTGTTTTAAGTGCTGACTTTAAACTTGTGAACGGAAAAATGACACTGGACGTGGATATTATGGTTGGGGAACAAAGCAGCATCCCAGAATTCAGGCAAGAGCCCTTAGAGCTGTTAGAGGTTTTGCAATTCCCAAGGATCTACAAGGAAGCAGGCCTGTGAAAAAAAACAAAGTAATGATGACTCTGGCTTTGACCTACATGTGAGCAAATGGAAAAAAGAGTATTTGTAAATAGCATCTCAGGCCAGACCCATTATGCTATTCAAAAGCTCAACACATATCAATGGCTGGGCATGGTAGCTCACACCTGTAATCTCAGCACTTTGGGAGGCCGAGGCAAGTGGATCACTTGAGGTCAGGAGTTTGAGACCAGCCTGGACAATGTGGTAAAACCCCGTTTAGCCTCTACTAAAAATACAAAAATTAGCCAGGTGTGATGGGCACCTGTAATCCCAGCTACTCGGGAGGCTGAGGCAGAAGAATCATTTGAAACCAGGAGGCAGAGGTATCAGTGAGCCGAGATCATGCCATTGCACTCCAGCCTAAGTGACAGAGGGAGACTCTGCCTCCCAGAAGGAAAAAAAAAGCTCTACACATTTCAAAAATGAGAAACAGATGGGACCTTATTTTCAGGATTTACAGAGAAACTATGAGAGACTAAGATGCCAGAGTTATCCACATTCACAACCTGTACAAGTTCATTTGAACAGGTGTCACTTGTGACCTTGCTCCTGATTGAAGTCACATTTTTGAATATCATTTTCCCCATAACGACACTTTTCTCATAAATATGAAGTAACCAATCTTGAGTAATATGGAAAAAAATACAGGAAGTTATTCTGATGTTATTTATAAGTTAGAGCTCTAAAAAAATTTAGAGGACTAATATTTAACTAGGAGAAGTTAAATATAGTAAGTGTCCTATAATAATAGTCTTCTTTTGATATCACAGGGGATTGGTTCCAGGATTACTCTAGATACCAAAATCTGCAGATGCTCATTTAAAGTATATAAGGCCAGGTGCAGTGGCTCACGCCTGTAATACCTGAACTTTCGGAGGCTGAGGTGGGCAGACCACCTGAGGTTAGGAGTTCTAGACCAGCCTGGACAACATGGTGAAACCCCATCTCTACTAAAAATACAAAAATTAGCTGGGCACACACCTGTAACCCTCCTACTTGGGAGGCTGAGGCAGGAGACTCGCTTGAACCAGGGAGGTGGAGGTTGCAGTGAGTAGAGATTGCTCTACTATACTCCAGCCTGGGTGACAGTGAGACTCCATCTCAAAAAAATAAAAATAAAGTATATGAAAGTATATTTACATATAACCTATGCACATCCTCCCATATACTTTAAGTCATCTCCAGATTACTTATAATACCTAATACAATGTAAATGCCTTGCAAATAGTTGTTATACAGTATTGTTTAGGGAATCATGACAAGGAAAAAAAGTCTGTACTTGTTCAGTACAGACATAACCATCGCAAGCTTAACAACATTTCTGATTCATGGTTTGTTGAATCCATGGAGGCAGAACCTACATGTACAGAGCGCTGACTGTATGCTCTTTCACTGATTCAGCAAACATAATACATTTATGATGATGTGTACTGAGAAAACTTGGTTAACAATTTGTAATGGGATATGATAAATGAAAGGCTCAAACTTAAGAAGCTTTCTCTAAGATGTAAGAGCCTTAGAACCTGGCTAGACAGTGCTATGAATTGCTGAAACAGGTACAGAGGGGAAATAGATGGAGGCAGAGTGCAGGAAGAAGGAGCTATCAGTATGACACTTTTTTGTTTGTTTGTTTTGAGACGGAGTTTCGCTCTTGTTACCCAGGCTGGAGTGCAATGGCGTGATCTCGGCTCACCGCAACCTCCGCCTACTGGGTTCAGGCAATTCTCCTGCCTCAGCCTCCTGAGTAGCTAGGATTACAGGCATGCACCACCATGCCCAGCTAATTTTTTGTATTTTTAGTAGAGACGGGGTTTCACCACGTTGACCGGGATGGTCTCGATCTCTTGACCTCGTGATCCACCCGCCTCGGCCTCCCAAAGTGCTGGGATTACAGGCTTGAGCCACCGCGCCCGGCCAGTATGACACTTTAAATATAAAGAGCCTGAAGTTCCTATGCAAATTCCAGGTCGACTGCACACTGGGCAGTTGGATAATAAGGATCAGGAGCTCAGGACAAGCCTGCGATAGAAACAGACATTTATTAATCATCTGTATCAGATGAAGCCATGACAGTATAATGTTGCCGATAGGATTACTTAGAGGTGAAAAGATGATCAAGGCCAGAAACTTAGAAACACCAATAGTTAAGAAAAAAAGCAGAAACTAAGTCCGGTCTTCTTTGTATCTTTTACTTTTTTTGTATATTTCAAAACCTGTTACTTTACTTTTTTATTTTATTGAAAAATATGTTAAGCGTAAGTGTGACAAGATACTTGAAGACAGAATACTTCTTAGTACATAGAAGAAAAAAATTTCCCCTATATTTACAAAAGGCTGGGAAAACCTGATTAATTTAGAAGTCAGATTGCTGCCCTCATTGACGAATTAGGGAGTTTCTTGACCTCTGTGCTAAAGGCAGGACAATTAGCTTCCCAATTCCATGCTGTCTGCACTAGTGGAAACTACCTCTTAAAGATATTCCTTAGTTTAGGGTTTCTCTAAGCAACTGCACCAAAGTTTCTCCAAAGTATTAAGAAAAGTCAGTACCTACTGGGTATACAGGCATCCAGCAACAAGCTTTTTGGAAATCTTTCCTCTTTAAAAAAATAATGGAAAGGTAACGCTGATTTTGTTTTCTACTCCACAATAGGTCTGCTTTTACACAAAAATCAAGTTTAAAATTAAACGCATCCTTATTTTAGAAATGAGAAAAGGGAGGCTTAGGGGTTACTACTTACAAAGCCATCCGTCCATCCTCACGAACTTGGAACCAGTTTCTTACTAACTCTGTAACCCTCAACCTCAGCCTCACACACTCGGTCACCCCACCCGCGAACCCACCCGTTTCCTACTGTACGCCTGCCCCAGCCACACAAGCTCTGATCACTGCACATCACAGGAGACGATTCCTCCCCTTCACACTCCCCAGCCCCGTCGCAGGCACAGCAAATCCTCCCATTCAGCGTCCCTGGCCCGTTTCAGCGTCGAGAAAGCCGAGTCCCACAGAGCTGAAACCCAACTCACCAGCAGACAAAGACCACCATGGCGAGCCGGAGAGTCCGCGCCTGCGCACTCCTTCGGCGGGCAGCGCTCCCAGAGGTCTCCTGGGCTCGGTCGGGCCCGGGCTCAGAACCGGACGCTGGTCCGTCCTCCGTGCCACTCTTTTGAGGGTGGACTACAATTCCCAGAAGGTTCAGCGGTTTGAGTCAGCTTTTTGCGCGAACTTTCTTTCCTTTGCCAGAGCTTGTAGGGATTGTCTCCCTGGCAGGGGCAGGAGTCAAAGGCCGAGTCTTAGTTTACGCTATCCCTGGGAGAGGGTAGTGGTGTGCGACGAGTGTTAATATCAGCTTAAACATGCTGTGTGGACTTCATTTAGGCGCCATGGTGCGATACTAAGCCAGGAACCCCAGGAGACTCTCAGGCACGGTTCGGAAATGAGGGTAACAATGCCTATGGCTGGGCTCAAACCGGGCGCCATCTTGCCTACCACGGGCGTGGAGCTGAACTACATTTCCCAGAAGGCACCGGGCCCTCGGCCCCTGCCCCCGCGACGCCAGCGGCTCAGTGGAGAAGTGCGCGAGACCCAGGTGCTGGGCTCGGAGTAGGTCGGCTTGGAGACTACTGGGTCCGTAGGAGGCTGGAGGTGAAGCGTCTAGAACCGGGTGCGGGGGTTGAGATTGAGTATTAAGTGTCTTCAGGCGGAACGGGCCGAGGAAGGGCTGTTGTGAAATTGTAATTTTTGTGACAGTATATCCTGGCATTGTGTGTGTGTAATTGTGACTATGTATGACACGCTGTGTGCGGATGTGGTGAGGGTTCTGCGGGTATCCCGTGAGTCCCAGTGTTAGGACTGTTAATGTGTGACTGTGTAACTCTGTGTGAGGGTATGGGTTTGCTGTGACTGCCTGCTCGCGGTGGGTGTGTGATTGTGACTCTGTGACCATATGTTCGTCTGTGTGCAGATAGAGGGAGCTTTGTACTTGTGTGCTTGTGACTCTGTGTGTCTGTGTGGGAGCATGGAGGGTGAGTGCTTTTGAGTTTGTGTCCAGTGGTGGGTATGTGAGTGAAGCACTGTGTGTGCCTGGAGTTGAGACTGTGTTTGTGTGTCTGACCAAATGTCACACATAGTCAGATGTGAGAGCAGAAAATAGCTCAGTCCGGTGATAGTAAAGGACAGTTTTCTATGGCACTGAGTTTGAGTTGGTAGCCCCAGTTTTCTCTGATAGCCCTCCCGTGGCGGGGGAGGGGAACGCAGAGTAAACTCTGGCGTTGTCATTTGGGCCCCAGGGGAGGTGTGTTGTTTCCTTTCCCATTTCTGTCCACCAAGAGAGGCTCCCCAGAGGAGAGGAAATAATGATTCTGATATCTAAAAGCCATGTTTAAGGTGCCTTGAAGTTTTCTCTATTTTTCCAAGACATGATTTTTTTTTTCCTTAGCAAATGCCTAAAAGAATTTATCTAGTAACTTGGAATCTTCTGTTTCTCTTTGGAAATATCTTCCTAATTTTCTCTTATTAATGTAGTAAATGGTTCAGTTCATCTTGTATGCATAGTTTGGTTTTTCCTATATACTCCTATATACATATATAGATATATAGATATATATGCATATACATACAAATATATACACTTGTATATGCACATACTGACATGTATCCAATGTTTTCATTTAAGTGATATTTTAACTTCCTACATAATTGAAAGATATTTGAGAATATATTAAATTATAGATGCTGTTGTTTTGCCACATGTGTGGCCAACCCAGTATCAGTTCCCTTCTTTATTGCTATAAAAGTCCTAATACTGTTTGTTTGCCCTGCTTAAATAAAAAACAAAACAACAACAATAAACAAACTCTACATGTTCTAGCTTCCCCTGTTGATGTAAGTAAAAGTTCTTAGATTGGGCTTCTTAGACAGTTCTCTGTTGTGTATTTGTTTGTTTGTTTGTTTGAGATGGAGTCTCACTGTTGCCCAGGTTGGAGTGCAGTGGCGCGATCTCAGCTCACTGCAAACTCCACCTCCTGGGTTCAAGTGATTCTCCTACCTCAGCTTCCTAAGTAGCTGGGATTACAGGCACCCGCCACCATAGCTGGCTGATTTTGTATTTTTAGTAGAGAAAGGGTTTCACCATGTTGGCCAGGCTGGTCTCAAACTCCTGACCTCAGGTGATCCATCCACTTCGGCCTCCCAAAGCGGTGGGGTTACAGGCATGAGCCACCATGCCTGATTGCTCAGGCAGTTCTTTAAAAGTGTGGGGATGGGGTGGGGCAGGTTCAGTGGGTATGCATTCTTTTCCCACTTTCTGTTTGGAATGTGGTATCATGCTACATGTGGATCAGCTATCTCATAACCATGCATTTTTTTTTTCTTTTGAGACATGTCTTGCTCTGTCATCCAGGAATGCATGGCATGAATGCAGTGGCATGATCTCAGTTCACTACAACCTCTGCCTCCCAGGTTCAAGTGATTTTCCTGCCTCGGCCTCCTGAGTAGCTGGGACTGCAGGCGCGCATTACCACGCCCAGGGAATTTTTGTGTTTTTAGTAGAGATGAGGTTTCACCATGTTGGCCAGGCTGGTCTTGAACTCCTGACCTTGTTATCCGCCTGCCTCAGCCTCCACAAGTGCTGGGAATACAGGCGTGAGCCACTGTGCCGAGCCCCATGCATTTTCATTTTGTTTTTTGATGAGTCTTGCTCTGTTGCCCAGTCTGGAGTGCAGTTGTGCCATCTCAGCATATTGCAACCTCTGCCTCCTGGGTTCAAGCGATTCTTCTGCCTCAGCCTCCCAAGTAGTGGAGACAACAGGCATGCACCACCACTCCCAGCTACTTTTTGTATTTTTAGTAGAGACTAGGTTTCACCATGTTTGCCAGGCTGGTCTCAGACTCCTGACTTCAGGTGATCTGCCTGCCTTGGCCTCCCAAAGTGCTGGGATTACAGGCATGAGCCTGCATGCCCGGCAGTAACCATCCATTTATAATGGAAGGAGGGGATGAGCATTTACGTTGTCATAGTACATGAAAATAGAGGATTTTAAGTTGCATTTGTTGTGTGAAAGCAATTTGATTAGAAAATATGTGTATTCCGGCTGGGCGCGGTGGCTCATGTCTGTAATCCCAGCACTTTGGGAGGCCGAGGCGGGTGGATCACGAGGTCAAGATATCGAGACCATCCTGGTCAACATGGTGAAACCCCGTCTCTACTAAAAATACTAAAAATTAGCCGGGCATGGTGGCACGTGCCTGTAGTTCCAGCTACTCAGGAGGCTGAGGCAGGAGAATTGCCTGAACCCAGGAGGCGGAGGTTGCAGTGAGCCGAGATCGCGCCATTGCACTCCAGCCTGGGTAACAAGAGTGAAACTCTGTCTCAAAAAAAAAAAAAAAAAAAGAAAAAGAAAATATGTGTATTCCACCTATCTGTGCATAAAATGTCTGGTTGCACTTTAATTTTCTTCACTGTAACTAGAGTCAAGCTTGTGAAAGAAGGGAGTTCTTTAGTTGTTCCATCTTCAGCATTTACAATGGCTAGCACATAGTTGGCTCTCAGTAAATAGTTTATTAATGAAAGAATAGTAAGTAGTTGATAAATGATAGCAGTGCTACTTAGTTTCTTTTTGTTTGCACAGAGGAAACATGCCCAGATAGCCTTAGGTTTCTATTCCTCTCTGAGATTACTTTGTGTTAACTCTACTTCTGGGTAGGGAAGACTAATTATAAGCCGATGTTCTTCATCAAACTGGGTATGAGTTCTTCATCATCCTCAGGACTTTTGACATGGGGTGAAAGATATTCACTGTTACTGTTCATTTTCTTTGATTCTTTATTAAGTTTCTATAAAGAATAAAGTATTGATAACCAGTTTTCCCTCACATTTAAATGATGATTAAACTTTAAGAAAAGTTCAACTACATTTTTAGTAAGCCTTATTCTTTTGGCTACTTTAAACACAAAGCAGCAGATAAGATTGGAAGTAGGGAGATTTAAAAAAAAGAGATTAAAAAAAGGCAATTGTAGTACCCAAGGAAAGGAGAGATTAAAAAATAAAAGGCAATTGTAGTACCCAACAGAATGATGGCCTAGAGAAGTTGTTTGTAGTTGAGATGGAGAGAAATAGAAGGTTTTTAGATACAATTAGAGGGAAAATGTCAGAACTTGCTGAAGAGTTATATGTAGTAAGAGAAGAAAGAATGAAAAATGACACAGGTTTCTGAGTTGAGTAATTCAGTTAGTTAGAGTTGATGCACAGGCAAAGCCAAATAAACATGTAGATTGTACCTGATAGGGCCACTTTCCCCAGAAGAGGACTGTTGGCATGGCAGACACCTATAGTTTATTTCCTAAAGAAGGTGGATAAAATAACTTACGCAATCTTCAGTTTGAGTCCTCCTAATGATTATCAAATAAATTATCCTTTCATGTTAAGACGCATACATAAGGCCGGGCACGGTGGCTCAGCCTGTAATCCCAGCACTTTGGGAGGCCGAGGCGGGTGGATCACGAGGTCGAGAGATCGAGACCATCCTGGTCAACATGGTGAAACCCCGTCTCTACTAAAAATACAAAAAATTAGCTGGGCGTGGTGGCAGGTGCCTGTAATCCCAGCTACTCAGGAGGCTGAGGCAGGAGAATTGCCTGAACCCAGGAGGCGGAGGTTGCGGTGAGCTGAGATCACGCCATTGCACTCCAGCCTGGGTAACAAGAGCGAAACTCCGTCTCAAAAAAAAAAAAAAAAAAAAAAAGACGCATACATAAAAATTGGAGGGTATGCTGGGCGCAGTGGCTCACGCCTATAATCCTAGCACTTTGGGAGGCCGAGGTGGGTGGATCACCTGAGGTCAAAGAGTTCAAGACCAGCCTGGCCCTCATGGTGAAACTCCCATATATATATATATTTTTTTGAGACGGAGTTTCGCTCTTGTTACCCAGGCTGGAGTGCAATGGCGCGATCTTGGCTCACCGCAACCTCCGCCTCCTGGGTTCAGGCAATTCTCCTGCCTCAGCCTCCTGAGTAGCTGGGATTACAGGCACGCGCCACCATGCCCAGCTAATGTTTTGTATTTTTAGTAGAGACGGGGTTTCACCATGTTGACCAGGATGGTCTCAATGTCTTAACCTCGTGATCCACCTGCCTCGGCCTCCCAAAATGCTGGGATTACAGGCTTGAGCCATCGCGCCCGGCCCGAAACTCCATCTTAAAAAAAATAAAAAATAAAAAATAAAAATGGAGGGTATAGTGGTAGGTAATAGATTAATGGTAATATTTTCTGAAGATAAAGACTTAGTGGTCTAAGTAGAATTAAATCATCTGGTGTTTTCTGGAGTCTGAAAAGCAAAAATCAAGATGAGGATCCATTTCCCCAATGCCATTGAATCTACAG